CAACAAAATATACAGTAATCAATGATGATTCGGGAATGTCTGATATTCAAATCAAACATCTTTGTTATGCAATGTGTCATTTTTATATTGATAATTTCTGTATCAATGATGTACCATATACACTTGAATTGGCTCAACAATTTGCAAAATTAGCAACTAAAAGATGCATTGGTCGAAATGAACTCAATCCATTGAATTCTATTGAAGAAATTATTGAAAATTTTTCTCGAAAACTTCGTATTCATGATAATTTTGAATATCCTGTTGATGATTGATTGAATAATACAAATTCTATTTGTGCCATATATGGCATTGGATTAAAAACACTAAACACCCTGAACAGACAACAAAATTAAAACATTTTTTTTTTAATGCAGACATTTCAAAAGTTTTTTTTAAATTACCTAAACACACATCATAACACACACATGATGTTTACAGGATGTTTATATCATCTTTCCATAAACTAATGTAATGTGATTTAATGTTATCATTAGAATATCTATAGCCCTGACAATACAAAATTACCAATAAAGATAATATTTGTTTAAATAATCAGATCAAAATCGATTTCGATTATGACTTGTGTGTTTGTTTGTGATTCTATTATTATTAAGTGAACATTCGTTGTTTCATTGAAATTCATTGATCATCATGTTTTCTCAAAATGAAATGAATATTGAAAAATCCAATGATAAAAGTGTTGTTGAATCAAATTTCCTAGTAAAATCAAATTATTTTCGTTTAAATTTTTTACCGATCATTATTTATAAATATAGTGTTCAAATAATACCGAATATTTATCGTGAAAATGAAATTTTCAATATCATAGAAAGATTTATTGAACAAAATTCAACATTATTGTCATCTGAATGTTATTATGAAAATGGTTACATTTATTCATGTTCGTTAATTTTTTCACATCGAATTCGATACAAAACTGTTAATTGGAGTAGTGGTTTTCGCAATAATCGATTTACAATAAATTTAAGAAATATTGACCAATTTGATTCATTAGTTGAAGCGGGAATAAATTTGCAAAATTTTTTTCAATTTTTCATAAAGAAACAGAAAAAATTAATCTTAACATCAGATATTTTTATTCAAAATGAATATCCATTCCCAAACGATGGAATTTCAGTTATGGTTGGATTTCGATTTTCAATCATTCCGATGCCTGAACCATTGATTCTTATATCAAGATATGCAATTATATCTGATGGAAAGATTCAGATTTATGAATATAAGTTTATTTCTGAAGAAGCTGATAAAGCTTTCGGCGATGAACAATTTTGTGACCCGATGAAAGAATTTGAATTTTTTAGAAAATGTTGTGCAGACATTGAAAATTGTGTCGAATCATTCGGAATCAAGATTCATTCGGAGCCATTCGAAACAAATGCAACATTACTTTTTCATCCAGAAATTGTTCCAGACTCTATGGATAAACCATTCTACAATAAACCATCACATACAATAGAATTTGCTATTCTTTGTTTTCATCCATTCGATTCAAATAAAATGGAAAAATTTGAAGAATCATTTGTTGAAAAAGCAAAAAAATTTGGAATGAATTTTGAAAAATGTTTCGAAACACAATTTGTTGACATTCAAAATGATTCAGAAATTGCTACAGTTTTTCAAAATTTGAAAATTCGTAATATTCATTTTGTTTTCATTGGTCTTTCTGCACGTATGTTATTTCATTCAATAATAATTAAAAATTATTTATATTTTATAATTTAGATTCTAGAAACGATTATGTTTTTGAAAAGATCAAATCTCATGCAACTAGTTGCCATGGGCTAGTCACTCAAATATTTATAGTTGAAAAACTAGATTGGAATGTAGATATTCCAGAATTTTTCGACAGTTTAGCATTTAAATCTTGTTTGAAACTAGGTGGTAGACCAAATATAATCGATCCTAATTATTGGAACACTTTTCCTTTTGAGCCACAATCTACTATGATAGTCGGAACTTCTTTTAAACAATTTAAGCTGGATAATATTAAAGAAAATATTTTTTTGCATTCAATTGTAACATCATTGGATACGGATTTCTGTCAAAACATTTGCATCGAACGTTTTTCAATAAAACCAAACGATGAACAACTTTTTGAAGAAATGTTTCGAAATTCATTACAGGAATATCAGAAAGAACATGGCAAATATCCCAAGAATATTATTATATTTCATGGAAAAAGATATACCGATTTAAAATCTGCTGCTGAATCAATCGATGAACAAATAAAAATGACAAGCTTTTCGGTAGATAAATTCACACCTATTCGTTTTATCAAGAATAATGACGAAAAAGTTCCAATCGGAACTTGTGTTAAATTGCTTCAGCTTGACGGTTCACAAAAAGAGTTTGTCATTTGTACTGAGATCGGTGCTGATGGTGGGGTAAGTAAAAAAAAAACAAAAATCTTGTCAATCATTAAATTTTATTTTTTTCCATAGCGATGCAAAACAACAAAATATACAGTAATCAATGATGATTCAGGAATGTCTGATATTCAAATCAAACATCTTTGTTATGCAATGTGTCATTTTTATTTTGATAATTTCTATATCAACGATGTACCATTTACACTTGAATTGGCTGAATATTTTGCAAAATCAGCAATTACAAGATGCATTGGTCGAAATGAACTCAATCCAATAGACTCGATTGAAGAAATTATTGAAAAATTTTCCCGTAAAATTCGTATTCATGGTTATCTTGAATATCCTGTTGATGATTAGTAATCTTTTTCCAAAATAAAAGATGATAAAAAAAATTTTTACAAAAAATACATTTAAAACAATTGTTATATGCATATTAAATAAAACTTTTTGAAACTCCACCTAACAATATATGTGTGTAAAATAATTATCATTACAACCAATTAAAATTAAAATTACTAATAATCATTTTATTCATAAGAAATCATTATTAAACATATAAAATTATAATTCTTTTTATTATTTATGATTTTTTTATTACTTTTTTTAGAAAAAAGAAGATTAAAATTGAATAAAGTTTATTATTATTTTTTTTTGATCATTCTTTGATCAGAAATTATTGTGGTTGTTGATGTTAACGTTATTATTTTTTTTTTGTAAAAACAAAAGAATATTTCATCTTGAATTAAATTCAAACATGGAAAATTTGAATGATATTAACAATGTGACTGATGAATCAACATTATTGATGGTGAAATCAAATTATTTTCGTCTAAGTTTCTTACCAATCATCATTTATAAATATAATATTCAGATAACG